CAGTAGCATCACTGCAGGTTTGGGCTTGTAGCTGCGGGAGAAGGGTTCCCACAGGGGTCAGACCGCGAGAAAAGCGGCCGGACCGCAGCTATTCCGCTGTGCACTGTTGTGCACCAGTCTCCCCACGTTAAAAGAAGTCCCGCACAGGCATCTTCCAGGGTTTTTTGGAAAATAACGAACTTGTGGTTCAAGGACTGGCCTTATTAGCCACCTGAGGACCCATAATTCCCATGGGAGATGATCATACTTGGTAAGGAGTGGTCGCTAATCATCATCATCTTCATCTTCCCCTATGAGGATGGGAATCACCCCCGGGCTCAGGGATTGTGTTGCTTCTTGTTTTGAGTGAGTGAGATTCCCGTTGCCCCACCTCTCTCTCTTAGTGTCTCTTTTTCTGTCTACCTCCATCTGCCCCAACACACACCCCGACTTTCTCTGACTCAGTCTGACCTAACCATCCACCCTTCGCCTCTGTGTTCTGTCATCCTCTCTCCCTAGCTCTTGTAAACCCCATAACAGCCACAAGAAGAAGAACAGAGGTGCTTTGGCCACAGGGAATGAACCCACAGAGTCCCCAATAAGTTTCATGCCCAGTAAATTAATTCTCAAAAAGAAGAACAGGAGTACTTGTGGCACCTTAGAGACTAACAAATTTATTAGAGCATAAGCTTTCGTGGACTACAGCCCACTTCTTCGGATGCATCAAGTACTCCTGTTCTTCTTTTTGCGGATACAGACTAACACGGCTGCTACTCTGAAACCTGTAAATTAATTCTGTTTCTGGTTTCCTCTCCTAGTGGCCCCGGGCCGAGCCGACATCCAGCAGCCGGGCTACGCAGAAGGTTTGGAGGGAACTGAATTGAACCCCCCTTCCTCTCACACCTCAGTCAAGACCAATGAATAGATATTTTGATGCTGGCAGTTCCTGAATGGAGGGCCTCAATATATAGCATCTGGATACCCAGGAATCAATATTAGCTCCAAGCCAGAACAAGTTTGCATGTGTCTGGAGACAGAAAATCCAGCACCCTGGCCCAGTGCAGGGTGCGGCTGGAGCTCTGAGTGACACAGTGTGACAGCCAGGGGTGGCCCCCCTACAATAAATATCGCATTTTTCTGGGCTATGTGTGTACATGGGGGAAGGGGAGGGGAGAGGAATGTTGGGTGTCGTTCCATGTGGGGGAGGGAGGAGAAGGGTGGTGAGGGAAGACAAGAGATTAAAAAAAATGTACCAAGGTCTCTGTGCACCTATTTAATTAAGCGACTGGTTAGATCAGATCCTTTGGAAAAAGTCTAAGAATATCCCCTTCAGAGAGATCTATGAAGCACAGTAAAAGGTAAAACAATGCAAATAAATAAACAAACCCTTCCCATTACAGCTGCAAGGGAAGTATTTTGATATAGACAGATAGATACATACAGCGTTGCGGTCGTGTTGGTTGGAGGTTATTAGGTGGACAAGGTGGATGAAGTAATCATGGGTTCAGTCACAGAGATGACCTTGGGACTGTCACCTGATGTGCTGAATTTACCTCTGAGCCCGTTTTCCCTGCCAGCTTGGGACTCCAGAACCCTGCCTTGTTGATCCAGACACGCTAGCCTGCTGCAACCCAGACCCAGGTCTGGTCCACACCCCCCAAAGCTGCAGACTGTAGCCAAAAACTGCTCAGCAGGTCACCTATCTTCAGCACCCAGACACCCAGCTCCCAATGGGATTGAAACCTCAAATAAATCCGTTTTACTCTGTGTAAAGCATATACAGGGTAAACTCATTAATTGTCCTCCCTCTGTAACACTGATAGAGAGATATGCACAGCTGTTTGCTCCCCCAGGTATTAATCACTTACTCTGGGTTAATTATTAAACAAAAGTGATTTTATTAAGTATAAAAAGTAGGATTTAAGTGATTTCAAGTAATAATAGACAGAACAAAGTAAGTTACCAAGCAAAATAAAGCAAAACCATGCAAGTCTAAGCCTAATACATTAAGAAACTGTTTACAGGTAAAATCTCACCCTCAGAGATGTTTCAATAAGCTTCTTTCACAGACTAGACTCCTTCCTAGTCTGGGCCCAATTCTTTTCCCTGGTACAGTCTTTGTTAGTTCCAGCAGGCATTTTAGGTGAAAAGCAGGGGTTTTCTCACGACTGGCACCCCTCATGTTCTGCTCCATCCACTTTTATAGCTTTGGAACAAGGCAGGGATCCTTTGTCTCCTGGGTCCCCACCCCTCCTTCTAAATGGAAAAGTACCAAAATTTAAGATGGATTCCAGTATTATGTGACATGGTCACATGTACTGTGAGACCCCAGCCTCCATTCTTCCAGGGCTGGCCCACACGTACCCCGGAAGGTTTGCAAGTAAACAGAGCCATTTACAGGTGATTGAGGATGGTGCTTTAAAGTATTTGTCTGTCTCTCTGTCCTTCCCCATACACTCCGTCATCTATCTAATCTATCTATCTAATCTATCTATCTGTCTATCTATCTATCTATTGACCCTCCTCATCAAGAAAACATGAAAGTGCCTGCAGACATCATGGGCAGATTGTATTTATTTTCCCAGTTTGACCTTCAAAGCAATTTCGTGTTCTATTTTGAAGGGGGGGGGTGTCCTATAATGTTGCCAGAGAATCCCACTTTCTCAATATTTAAGGAGCTGCCAAACTCTGAATGTGATGTGGGGGTGGGGTTAGTATTAATTTATGTTAAAAACAAGGAAATTTTACATTGTTTGACCAAACCATTTAGCAGCTAAGATACCACGGTGATGGAACACTTTATTAAAAAGGATGGATGGATGGAGAAATAGAGGAGATGGAAAGTCCTGTGTGTATTGGGGTAGATGGAGCCAGGCAGAGAAATGGAGAGATTGAAAGAACCAAAATCTTACTCACTGAAAACAAAAGGCAGCACAATCCCCGAGCTCGGGATTGGTCCCGTCCTCACCATGGACTAGCTGCGTCCCAGCCCCTTTTCTCTCTGTCTGACCCCTGTGGGAATCGGCAAGAGAGAGGCTCCACCCTTTTCCCGCAGCTACAAGCCAAAGAGAGAGTGACTGTGCGGAGTGGTGAGCACTGAACAACGTGCAATGATGCTACCGCTGGAACTCGAGCTGTGAGTGACAAGTGAGGCCAAAACCCGCGTAAACCCCTCTCTGTTTCCTCCGCTATTCTCTGCAACCTTCTTCTGAGGCTCCAAGATGGCTCAATCTGCCTGTCAGGAGCCGGGCTCCCGGGGGCATGACAGGAAGGAGTATGCACCGGGTGACCCGCTCAGAGCTCCACATCCTCTTCTACCTCCACTTATTCATCCAGAATTTCAGCCTCCGGGTTACCCCCACTTTCTGTTGCCTCCGTGGGGCTATCAGCGATGGAGGTGGGGTCATCACTGAGGATAGCATTCAGCTCCTTATAGAAGAGGCAGCTCTCAGGTGCCCCATCAGAGTGATGGTTTGCCTCCCTCACCTTATGATACACCTGCCTCAGCTCCTTTATCTTCACTCTGCACGGCTGTGTGTCTGATCACAGCCCTTTTCACACAAGCCTCAAGAAATCTGCCCATATGTGCTCCGATTCCTACGTGTCACTCACATCTGTGACTGAACAGACTCCTTTCCTCATATACGGATGAGATCCAACAGCTCCGCGGTGGTCCAAGCGGGAACGTGTGTGGTGCAATAGCCAGCCATGCTCACCTGGGAAGACGCCAGGTCATCTCTTCACGCTGAGCCAGCAAGCAGGAAATGGGATTTTAAATTCCTGGGGCTTGCAAGGGGGAGGAGCGGGTTGGCTGCAGGGCAGTGGAGTTCAAATCACTGATGAGATGTTGCCTCGGACATTAAAACAAACAACAGGGTATTTTTCTGGCCGGTGAGTTCCCTTCTCTCCTACCACAGTCCGGCCCCTGCCCCCGTAGCCTTTCAAACAGCTTCCATCTCTGGCTGCCGTTTCTGAGGCACTTTAGAGAGTAGCGACATTCACTCCTGTGCAGGAGGAGAGGCGCTGCACCAAAGAGACACAA